TATTTAAATACATTTAAGATGAGTATTTTGTATTTTCAAAATACATAAAATACTTTGTGCCAATCAACCTCTTTATCTCATGGAGAGTGGGTCAAGTTCAACAACTGCTGATGGTGAAGTGGAAGACTTTTTTGTCTTTACTGAAGATGTTGAGGTCTCTGGCAAGTCTACACACAGCAAAGCTGAACTGGAGACATTGCACTTTCTAGAAGATCAGAGAAAGGAGTTGGAAGTCTTGGACCAGTATCCACTTATTAGACAACTGTTTGTGAGGTTCAACACAATCATCCCCTCTTCAGCTCCTGTAGAACGCTTGTATTCATTTGCAGGCTTAATCAATAGGCCACACAGACGACGCCTGAAACCCAATCATTTTGAAAAGCTGGTAGTACTAAAGGGTATCGAATAGATGGATGTCTGAAACACACAGGTACACCATCTTGAGGAGTACACCATCAGTTTTATAATTGACTTTGTGTTATTGAGTTCTTGTTACTGAGTTGAAGTCATGATGGTGATAAAACGTAATAAAAGATGTTTGGGGGAAAAAAATAGTTTTGTTTTTCCTACAGGGCAGGGGAAGGGAAGATCATTTCTAATCAGTAGTACACATCTAAATGTTTTTGTTTTGCATTCAGAATATGTCCAGATATATTTCAGCCTAATAGGGATGCCTGCACTTAATGGCCAATTTCACATGTATTTTGTGTACTTTAAAAATACTAAATACTGTATTTGTATTTAAATACATTTTTACACAGTATTTTGTATTTGTATTTAAATACATTTTTCCACTCAGTATTTTGTATTTTTATTTTAAATACATTTCTATGTATTTATGCCCATCTCTGTGTCTATCCTCTTCCGTTTCCATCGTATTATAATTGATTTGCTTTTTCGCATTGGTACCTGGTCTGGCGCCGTGTTGGAGTCCGATTCATGCTGCGTTTGCTTTCGCTGTTTTACGGTGTGGGTGTGCATCACGTGGTGTTAGGCGCACTGAATTGTGGATTTTACCTGAGCACCTGCTAATGGACCTGGAGAGGGGGTGAATATGGGAGTCACAGTTTCTGTTGACCGCCTACGTTGGGTTGTGCTCGCGATCCTGTGCCTTGTTTTATCATTTTGTATGATAGTGAATAATCAAATAAATAAGCCCTGACAAGGAAATATGGACTGGCTTTCCTAAAGGGTGGAAGGCGAGTCAAACAGACCTCCCTATTTTAACCTCTCGGCGAATTTTTGTAAAAATCGCCCAAACATTATCAACAGAAATTTGCTGAATGGATACATGCTTTGCAGCCAGCTAGACGACGCTTCGTTTGAAATGGAAAGGATCCAAGTTTCAATGGAAGCGGCGTGGATCACGGCCCTCACCACAGCGCATTAAAACAGTGGTATGTGAAATATGTTCATGTAAAATCGTTGAAGCTGCTAAGCTGTTGTTCGGAGCTGTCGCTGTTTTATTTGGAAGTGTTGCTGGGCGCTGGATTTTTTGGAATATATTTCTCGACGTTTAAGTTGCTGCCCCTTTTTGGGTTGTATGGAGGTGGATTGTGTTTTGGGCATGCGAACTGTTTTGGATGACGATCCGTTGCTTTTGAATTGTTTTGCGGAAGTTTGATGCTGTTGGGATAGTATTGTGCATATGAATGGCAATTTGAGTGGATCAAAAGCTGGCTCCATGGCAAGTGAATCTGGTATTGAACTTCCAAGACGACCAGGTGCTCTTACTCAAAAGCGAAAGTTTATAAACAAAAGTTGCAAAGGCTCACAGCTAGAGACTGGCGCCACGACTCACAGGTTTTGTACTCCGGTGAGACCATGGAGCGATTTAGTCCAGGTGAGGTGGCAGCTATTGTCACCAGCGCAACTGTGGTTTCGGAGGAGGAGGACGAAGTGGATGTGAGAAGTGAAGATTCCACATCCGAAAATGAAGAAGAGGAAGAGGAAGTGACATTTGTCCAAAAACGGACAAATATCTTGGTCCTCAAGACCAATCGGACTGTCCACCTCAGGTAGACTACCAACCGAATTTGTCCTAAAGTCCACTCCGGGACCAACAAGGATAAGCAGAGCACAGGTACATGATGTCCTGTCTGCCTTTGAACTTTTTATCCCAAGAACGGTGGAAGAGATTGCAGTAAAGTTTACGAACTTGGAAGGGCTACGGAGGCATCGCAATGAATGGAAGAAAACAGACAGCGATGAAATTAGATGTTTCATTGGAGTACTTATTTTGAGTGGCATGTTCCGATCGAGGGGCGAAGCTGCGGAGTGTCTCTGGGACCCTTACATGGGGAGACCCATCATTGCGGCAGCGATGTCCCTGGACCGTTTTCAGACACAGCTATGCTCCGTTTTGACGACCGGGAGACCCGACCCAGCCGCAGAGCAGCGGATAAGCTGGCCCTCGTAAGGGACATCTGGGAGGCATGGCTGGAGAGGCTGCCGGTGATGTATACACCTGGGGAAAATATCACCGTTGATAAGCGGCTGATTCCCTTCAGGAGTAAGTAAATGCATGGTCTTTGTTACTTATTATTTCAAACACGGTAGACCGATCTAACTCTGCTTCGTTTTAGTCCTACTTGCCTGCAGTATACTGTAGATCTGTACAGTGGTGATGTATTTCACGGCAAATACGTGTTCTTTCTATGTGTTGTTGTAGGTCGATGTGCTTTCCGCCAGTACATGCCGAGAAAGCCTGGCAAATATGGACTGAAGTTGTGGGTGGCAAGTGACAGCGCCAGCAGCTATGCCTACAATGTCCAGATATATACAGACAAGCCGTCCAATGAGCCTGCAGAGGCTAAGTTAGGAATGAGGGTGGTGCTGGACTTGATGGTGGGGTTGACCAGCCGTACAGTTGTATGTGACAATTTCTTTACTTCATACGAGCTGGGGCAAGAGCTCCTAAAAAGGAAACTTACAATGTTGGGCACCATTCGTAAAAATAGGGGGGAACTGCCTTCTGCCTTGCTTTCAAGAAAGGGAAGTCCGGTCCACAGTTCCACATTTGCCCATACGGACAATACGACCGTAGTGTCATATTTGGCAAAAAAAAATAAAAACGTGCTCCTCATGAGCACCGCTCACAGAGAGGCACGAATTAGCTGCCGGGCAGACGGAAAACCGCAAATAATTCTGGAATACAATAAAACCAAAGGGGGGGTGGATACTTTAGACATGTGTACGGCCAAGTACAGTTGTCAGCGGCGCACCTGCAGATGGCCGGTGGCCATTTTTTTCAATATGATAGACATAGCCGCCTACAATGCTTTTGTGATATGGGGGGAGCTGAACCCCACTTGGAAGCAGGGCAGAAGGCAGTATAGACGGCTGTTTCTGGGGGAATTAGGGAAAGCCCTTGTCACTCCAGCAATAGAAAAAAGGGAACGCCTCCCTCGCTCCTCCAGTGCAGCCGCAATTGTGAAGGCTACGAGGGTGCTAGCCTCTACCTCTGCCGAAGGCACAGTACAGAACGGGGGGGGGGGGGGGTGGCAAAGGGCGGTGCGACTGGTGCTCTCGGGCTTCTGACAAGAAGACAACCCGTGTCTGCGGGATGTGTGGCAAATCTGTTTGCCAAAAACATAGTATTCAATATTGTGTTGACTGCAAATAAGTTCAAGATATTGTTCTGCCACGGTTGGCTATTTTTTTTTTCTAATTGTTATTAGGTGTTATTTGCTGTTATTGTGTTTTTGTTGTATTCGTTGTGTTCTGTTTCAAATTATAATCCTTGTATTCGATATAGTAATAGATTATAGTATTGTGTTGACTGCAAACGAGTTCAAGATATTGTTCTGCCACAGTTGGCTATTTTTTTTTTCTAATTGTTATTAGGTGTTATTTGCTGTTATTATTTTTTTGTTGTATTCGTTGTGTTCCGTTTCAAATTATAATCCTTGTATTCGATGTATATAGTAATAGATTAGTGATAGTAATAATGATAATTAGTACGTTTTGACGTTTTGTTGTAAAAATAAATCACTTTTTTATTGATTGGGAGCAATGTTACTGACTCATTGCAGTAAAATGGCTTGGCATTCATCGGCACCAAACCGCTGGAGTTATGCAGTACTGAAATATACATCATTTAAATTTTTTTTCCATACATTTTTATCCCTTTAGGGCAGGTAAGTACCCATGCTTCATGTGTGATTACACATTTAGGTTGCGGTCCTGGGCGATGAAATCCGACACCGCTCATTATTTCCGGAATCTCATTAGCATAACAATGAGCCTCATGTATGTGTTCACATACCCACCTGTCCTCACGTGATCAGACCACTCCATACACTACACCCCCCAGTGGCCAAAATCCATAATACACCCCAAAGTTATAATTGGCACCCACACCCCGGCCCCGTAATTGTGAATATTCAATCATCACAATTACCCAATTTACATAAAATAGGAGCCTCCCATAGTGTAGGTCTTTATTAACAAAACAAACATTTATCTCCCTTTAGTTCTTGGTATAACTGCTACCAGGTCTTCCAAATGTCATGGAACTTCCGCTTCCATCAACAGACAGATTTTAATTATAGGTCCGTCCAGATAACCAGTTCTTGTTTTAAGCTGAACAGAATGAACAAAGCCCTTCTTATCAGGGTATATTTGAGTGATCCTTCCCATCAGCCAAGAATTCCGTGGAGTCCCTGGATCCAGTAGGACTACAATATCTCTAATCATAAAATTTCTTCGTGGTTTCACCCACTTCTGCCTCTCCTGGAGCAATGGTAAGTAGTCCTTCACCCAGCACTTCCAAAAGAGATCAGACATGAACTGCACTTGTCTCCATCTTCTCCTGACATACAAGTCCTCCGCTTTGAACAACCCAGGAGGAAGAGGTGATTTTGATCTCAGAAGAAGAATGTGATTAGGTGTAAGTGCTTCGAGATCTTATAGATCATCAGAGGCTCTTGTAATGGGGCGACTATTTAAAATGGCTTCAACTTCACAAAAATGGTATGGAGGCCCTCATCATCCAAAACTTGAAGTCTGAGAGTAGAAAAAAGGACCTTCTTAACAAGACGAATAAGCCTCTCCCAAACACCTCTGTGGTGAGAACCAGCGGGAGGGTTAAAAGACCATGTCAAACCACTTTGCAATAAAACATGCTGAATCTTCTTATGGTTCAACTCAGCAACTGCCTCGCTTAATTCTCGCTCTGCCCCAATAAAATTAGTACCATTATCTGATGTTAAATGAGACACCTGACCTCTCCTGGACATGAAACGCCAAATGGCATTTATGCATGAATTGGTGTCTAATGTATATGCCACTTCAAGATGCACTGCCCTACTTGACATACAGGTGAAAATGACACTATAACGTTTGACTCTGCCACGGCCCTTCTTTACCTCTACTGGCCCAAAATAGTCAACACCAACATTTGTAAAAGGAGGTAGATCTGGAACAATTCTTTCCATTGGCAGGTCGGCCATTTTCTGCTCCCCTTGCTTACTATGGAAGCGTCGACATACTACACTCTCTGATATGACCTTCCTACAAGCAGAATTTGCATGAGTAATCCAGTACTGCTTCCAAAGAGAGGACAACATGTGGTTTCTACCTGCATGACCTAATTGTTGATGAATGTGCTTCAAGAGGAGCTTAGACACATCCTGATCTTTGGCAAGAATGACCGGATGTTTTTCTACTTCAGGCATAGCGGCTCTACTAAGCTTTCCTCCCACCCGCAACAATCCGTCCTCCAACACTGGATCCAACCTACAGATGTTGCTATTTCGTCTGACAGATTTTCTATTCCTCAAGGCAGCAATCTCCTCTAAAAACCTCACTTGCTGAAAAAAGGAAATAATGGCATCTTCTGCTCTCTTGAGATCACACAAAGCCAACGGCTTTCCAATCTTTCTTTCTTCATCTCTGTACGAACATCATGGCCATAACGTTGTCAGGTTTCAAGAAGCTTTGTCTTATGGGACAAGCTTAAAAGCAAATCTTTGAATCTAAGCATCCAAGTAACTCAAAAAGGATTTTGTTGCATTCTGTTGGAAGACAAAAGCATTAATCAACACATCCTTCTTTACTTCAGGATCATCAATAGAGATAAAAACTTGATCCATAATAGTCTTGGGCCATTCCTCTTCTCCTCTCAAAAGAAAATCCAGTCCCTTAAACCACCTCTTACAGTCAAGGAATTCTTCAACACTTAGACCTCTCGATGCCTCGTCTGCTGGATTCAATCTTGTTCCTATATGTCTACATTGTGCAACACTGGTCTCGTCCCTAATCACAGCCACCCTATTAGCAACAAAAGTACAAAACCTCTTTGTCTCATTTCCTATATACCCTAAAACAGTCGTACTGTCTACCCAAAACACCGATGGATGTAGATCTAGCTGCAACTCCTTCTTCAGCATCTTATCCACTCGTACAGCCAGAACGGCAGCCGTGAGTTCCATCCGTGGAATAGTTGTTTGCTTTAATGGAGCAACCCTAGACTTCCCTAATATGAAAGCAATACTAACTTGGTTTCTCTCGTTTTCCATTCTCAGATATGTCACAGTTCCATAGCCACACTCAATGGCATCTGAAAAGTGATGCAACTGAAGATGCGTAAGTTTCCCAAAATCCTTAGGTTTTACACACCGCTCCACCCTCAGCTCGGTAATTGGACAGCCACATAGACCACTGCTGGGAAAAAACAGATGGTACATTGGAATCCCAGCTGATGTTCAATCTGCACATCTCCTGCAACAAAATGAGTGGTGCAAGAAATCCCAAAGGGTCATAGATAGATGACACCACAGACAGTATTCCACATCTTGTATGTGGACGCTCTGCTATAGCTAACCTAAAGGTCAGAACATTCATATCTATGCACCAATGAAGGCCAAGTGCTGTTTCTATAAGGACTGCATCTTGATCCAAATTAAGCCCTCTAGTGGTCTTAGTGCGCTGATCCTCAGAAATATGAGCCAAAACTATAGTACTATTGCTTGTCCACTTCAACAAGTGGAAGCCTCCCTTGGCACATGCTGCAGTCAATTCATCCACCATCTTTTTGGCTTCGGCCTCGGATGGCACAGATTTTAAACAGTCATCCATATAAAAATTTTGAAGTATTGTGTTCAGCACACTAGATTCAAAGCAGTCTTCATAATCTTGGACAATTCTCTTCAAGGCGTAATTTGCACAACCGGGTGAAGAAACAGCACCAAGAAGATGGACCTTCATCCTATATTCCATAGGAATTTGACTTATATCACCATCAGGATACCAAGAAGCGTAAAAAGTCTATATGCTTTGGAGACACCATCACTTGATGGAACATGGCTTGGATGTCTACCATTAGCGCTACACATTCCTGTCTAAACCTGATAAGCACACCAAGCAAGGTGCTAGTAAGATAGGGACCCTGCAATAGCTGTGAATTGAAATAAGTTCCTTTAAAAATAGCACCACAATCAAACACAACTCTAAGGGTTTTCTTTCTAGGATGATATACCCCATGATGGGGAATATACTACACCTTGCCGTCTGCCCTGTGTATTTGTGAATATGGTACTTCTTCAGCAAAGCCATTTCCAATAACATTCGAGAGGAAGGATGAATACTCTTGATGATATTCCATGTTCTTCTTAAACTTCCTTTTAAGACTTAGGAGACGCTGCTCTGCAATACTAAGGCTATTTGACACTTTCATCCTTAAAGGGTAAGTCAACAGAATAATGACCTTCATCACGACGGATTGAAGATTCCATTATTTGCATAAACCTCTGATCCTCTCTAGACACACACCTCTTCAAATAATTTTTCAAGAAAATCCTGGTTGTACTGGGCAACCAACATGTCCTGTAACTTGGCAACTTAAATCCTATTAACTGTAACTATAGATTTACCAAACTTGCCTTTTTCCTGTTCACCTCGTCTCAATGGACCATTCATAACCCACCCCAATAGGGTTCTAACTGCATATGGTCCATCACCTTGGCTATTAATTATTACCCATGGCTCCATGAGCTTAGGTGCATTGGTGCCTATCAACAATTCCACCTCTGCCTCAAGACTGGGAGTTTTAATGCCATCTATATATGTCCATCCCTTTAAATCCTGCTGAGCAAGGACATTATTTTGACTAACAGGCATAACACCCCGAGTAAAGACTTCAGGTAAATCCATAAAGGTTTCTTTGTCCAAGCTAGAAATCTCAAGATCACGAAGCAGAAATGTGTCAACAGACCTCTCCTGTCCTAAGGTACGAAGAAGAATTTTAGTCTTAACTCCAGAAAGATTCAATCTACTCATGAGATTTTCAGTACAAAAGGTGGCTAAACTCCCCGGGTCTAAAAAGGTATAAGTCTTCACAATCTTGCTTCCTGACTTAGCCTTCACCTGAACAGGAACAATAGAGAGCACATATTCATCATCCCCGGCCCCGGTATGGCCACATGTCTCTAAAGACACAAGTGCATTTTTAACTGAAACTTTCTGGGATCCAACTTTAGGCTCAATATGTAACACAGATGGATGATTCAGCTTGCAAACATCGCAAGTTAAGGGCTTTC